AAAAAAACGATTTATTAAATACAGCTTTTCAGACAAAACATGAATAATAATTAAGAATAAAAGGGCCTGAATATGTCAAATCCACGTGTTTATCATCTACATCATGAAGTAAAATAAAAAATACATAAAAAATCTATAACAAAAGATTTGTAATCCCCCAGTTTGATCAAGGAGAGCATAAGAAGCAGCGCGATTCTAATGTGTGTGTGTGTGTGTGTGTGTGTGTGTGTGTGAGGGAGAGAGAGAGGTTTAGTGTGTGCCAGATGGAGGCTCCGTCTTTTATTGGCGGTGTGAAAGGACAGCTTATAGTGCTCCTCTGTGGTCGGGCTCAATGGAGAGGGTGAGAGCAGACCCTCACACACACACACACACACACTCTCACTCAAAGCCTGATGCTTGTCACCATATGGAGCTGTTTAAAAACGGCCATAGCCCCTCACAAAAGAGCAACATTAACAGCCTCTCACAATGACTGCTGAGACAACACTGAATTATTGCACAGGGAGAGCAGTGACACACACACACACACACACACACACCTTTTATGACCTTATCACAAACTACTGAAAGCTTTGAATATTTTCAATTTCAGATAGAATTGAAAGGGAATTGAAGGGGTTGTTCTCAAAGAGGTTTGCTTTAGGACCCAGATATTACATTAACAATCAAGTGGCGACCCAAGATTGTTTATTGTATAAAAGAAAAGCAAAACAAAATGTGCGTTTTTTATATTACCAGGCTCACCAATAAGCACATTTATTAATGCAATGTAGACTAAATAGGCAGATTCACATTTTTGTCCATATTTTATATTTTATTTGTCGATTAACTAGTTATAATTGACTGATAATTGATAACAAATCTTTTTTATTTTTTCTATCCTATATGCAAAATTATATGGCTAGTTTATTATTTGCATTTAGCATAGTTTTCCCCTATTGGAAGACTAATGTTTTGTTCCAAAGCCTAGCAAAATGCCTGAAGGCAGGATTTTAAGGCCGCATCGGCACACTGATGAAAACTGTGGTGCCTTCTAAAAAAATTCTAAGACAGCATCGCAAATATCACCACGCCTTTGTGGAGAAAGCAATCCCAGCATGCACCGGAGAAGCACAATCGAAAATGGCAGATGAAGCAAGCGAAAAGTGGCTTATAAATGTACTGTATTGAGAAAATCAATGATAAAAAATGTTCCATTCATTTTATTTAAATCATCCACTGAACAGAAAAGTAGCATAATGTTATAGCGTAAGAATTTAACACCAAGTTTCTCGTACTTTTTTTAAAGTAATATTCCAGAAATAATATACTTTAAAATAATGTATAAATAATAAGGTTTGTATAAACATTTAATTTGCAAGCTAATTGTATTATATTTTAAGTTTATAAAGTACTTGAAGTTCTTTCATGGACTCAAGTACGTACAATCATATGTGTATTTATTTAAAATACTGCAAAAGATTATTAAAACATAATAGCAATAAAAGTTTTAATTGGACTTTTAAAAAGTGCCATTTTGCAAGCCTATAGGGATATTAAGCCTACTTAAAGGGATTCATCTTCGGAACTCAAATTAAGTTGATTTGGATTAAATCTGAGAGCTGGACACATGAAGGAAGCGCGTGCACAAGACTGTCCCATCTGTAAAATGCCACAGCGCAGTACATTAACACACACTTAATCCACACTACTCTAATAGCGCTTCGGAGAGGTCTTTATGGCAAAGGCTATATCCGTCATTCATCACGTTTCATAAAACATTTCAGAGTAATGTAAATTAATTAGATGTTACATTTGTTTGTAAAACATCAAGCGTTGCATATATTTACTGGCTCATAGTCATGAAAGTCTTGAGAGTTAAGTTAAGTTATTTTATTAATATTATACACTCTTAGAAAAAAGGGTTCATTCTATATATGAACCATAGGGTTCTTTACTCAACTCCAAATAACCTTTTATGCTAAAAAAGGTTGACAAGACAAGAAAGGAGAACCCTTTTTGGCACAAAGGTTCTTTATAGGCTATTATTCATTCAAACATTATTCTGCAACATTTTGTAATTGTAATTAAATTATTGTTATTAAACTGTTGTAACTTAATATCACACTTTAATCATGTTGATTTTTTGAGGAGAAAAACTGAAATAGCACTCTTCATGTGATATTGATTAAGTACATAAAATGATATATACATTTTCTAACCCCCATATCTTGAATTTTGTGATCATTCACATGCATTCACAAATACATTTTAGGGTCTTGATGTTTGTCAATAATATGAAATATTGAATCCAGAAAGGACAAAACAAATGATAATGAATGAACCCAAAAGGTTCCATATAGAACCTTTTTCCTGGTTACAAAGAACTCTAAAGGGTTCTTATTATTGAACCCTTAAAAATGATTATGTATAGAACCTTTTAGGGGTTTTAAATATTTAGTGCTGATAGAACCTTATCTTCTAGTACAGTTTTTAAAAATATATACTTTTACGATTTGAAGTACATTACGTGTGCATTCAATACTAATGAGGGCACTTCTTTTTCACAATGTATATGACAGTTTTGAATAATGCCTAAAATCTCAGAAAGCACTGAGACAATTTCTGTGGGAAAACCCAATCCAAGACAGCAACGGAGCAGTACTGACATGTGTAAAAATACCTTGTTTGTAATATTTTACTCAATATTTGTGTATTGTGTTATGTATTATATTTTGCGTACTAGCGTATCAAGTGTTTAGCTTAGAAACACGCTAAGACTAATGTGCATTTTGAGTAAGGAGCATTATTTTTATGACACCAAGTGTGTTAAGCTATCATTATTACAGTATTTTTTAATGATTTAACCCTGTTAATTAAAGGCTTTTTACTGCAAGATTGCCTTATGGAGTATTAAACCTTCATTATTTTTGTGTAGACTTTAATAGAAATTAATAAAATGAGATTAAAACACTTTAGTCACAAGTGAATTATAAGTACACATCTACAATAAATTGTGGTTACTTATTTTTTAAGGAAATGGGTTTCCTCAATTTAAGTAAGTAGACAGAACTCAGATAAACTTGTTAGTTTTAAGTTAAGTAGATTGACATTTTTAAGTGATTGCAATTAAATAAAATTACATTAGTCCAACTTAAAACAAAGAGTGATCACAACACATCTTTTGTTTCAGTAACTTTTACTTTTCAGCGATACTTGGGATTGTCAAGTTCACATAACTTAGCTTTTTCGATTGCACATTAAGTTTATTTCCTTAAAAAATAAGGCAACGTGTTTTCTCGCTTTTTAAGTTAAGTCAACTGATCACTTCCTACAGTGTAAGAAACAGAAAGACGCTTCAGTTAGGTCTTTTCCATCAAAAAACACAGATAAGAACAAGTCCTCTGTCGGGTCTCACAAATCACGTTCTGATAATTAAGAAGGAAAGAGAACATTTCTGACTTTTTAATGTAGCCTATATTTTACATTATGCACCCTCTCACCTCACAAAACTGTTCAAATTCAACCACATTTACACTGCAACGCTGTGAAATTGTTTTGTAAACACACAAAAGGCCAATGAAAAGATGTAAAGAGCCTTCCTTATCCTAAAACTTAAGCATGAGTTTAATCCTTTTATACCACAGTAGCTCAATCCTCCATTCCCATTGGCTGAGAGCTGCGGAGAGGTCCATGTCCGCCTCGAGGCGGCTGGAGCGCTGCCTGTTTGTTAAACTAATAATTGCCGTGTCATTACACTATAATTACACACAATGATCATTCGGCTGCCTGTGCATATAGAGAGATTTGCATACCAGACACACAAATTAGCATGAATTAAATACCTCATCATTGCAATTATTAATGCTGAACAAGAGTGCTGAACTCCTGCATGAAGATGCCTAAAGGTGTAAACCGCCATGACCATGTTTTCATATCGTGACACTGGCTTCTTCTCATTGATTGAGTGTGCGCTCTTGAAAACGTGGACAAACCCTTTTAATGTAACTTGAATTAATAAAGATCAATGAAAAGCTGTGATATATGCACGTAGCATTACTGTTTGTCAGTGCTGTAAGAATAAAATCAATTCAGTTTGTTTGAAATATAAACGAATATGCGTGTATCCAAATATCGCAACAATAATGTGTTTTCAAATTGTGGAAAAGGTTAGAGGGAAAAAAGCCAAATGTATTTTTTTTTATCTTCCCCAATATTAAACGAATAGGATTTCTTAGCAAGGGGATCGTCATATTTGGCATTTAAAAGTTTGACCCTGTGTTTGGGTATTGCGGGTGGTCTCTATGTGGTTACTAAGGTGTTATAAGAAGTTTTAGTAGGTCTCTATGTGGTTACTAGAGTAATCTGTGAGTCAAAAGAGCCCACCCGAAAGTCTCTGTGATGTATATAACTAAGGTCACTCCTTTACTATGGGAATGCTTGCCTTAGCAAACACTACTAATAAACTTGATATATAACCAAAAACAACTCGTGGAGAGCATACTTACCCCCTGGAAATCCAGTGAGGTCATTGAAGTGATTGAAGACAACATGGATCAAACATTGTTCTGATGCTAATGTAACACTGTACAATGGACTCTAAGCAAGTTTCCTTTACATTCTAGTCAAGAGAGCTAATGAGATCTAATGAAAGAACTACTCTAAAGAGAACAGCTACTCAACTAATCCATTCCACCTTCATCAACACATCACAAGGCTAAAGTTGAGCAGCCCAAGAGGAGAGGAGCATTGTTGTGAAGCTCAGGCTAAGGGAACGGCCAAATCTAGGTACATAGATTAGCATCCACAGAGGGGATTATGGACACCTACTCCCATTTCAAAGCCTCGCCCTTTTTGAAGTTTTGGGGGTTGTTGGCTCTAAGCTGAGAAATTGTGAGTCTAAAGGCTAAACTCTCATTTGATTCCTCTGGGATCTCCTCAGCTTAATCCCCAGATCCTGGTCTCATCTTCCCTTGTTATTCGATCGCCCTAAGATCAGTGTGCAACCTGGCTACGGACACCCCCTTCTCATTTTCACCCCCCTTCATTAACTTCTCTTAAGAAGATTAGCAAGCCCTTGGATGTTATTGTTTGTAAATCTGATTTCCCTGGTGTCATATTCTAGGAAACAACAGCATTGCGATGGATGCAACTGACCAGTGGGCATCTATACTCATATATATCCATTCACATCCCTCCAAAGAAGAAGATATCAAATTCCACACAGGGATCATTGAAACTCTGTGAATCGGGTTTTTTCTTCTATTTTTTTAAAGCGGTTCCTTTAAATGGACTATTTACAACACAGTTGCATGACACTTCTGGTTTGGCAATTTGGTGGGAAATTCCTATGAATTTTTGCAATGTCATTTGTACGTTTTCGTACGCACTCGCGCCCCTGAGGGATTCGATTCATGGTTGCTTCATGTATATTTATTTTATCACAAATTGTATGTTTACACATTGTACAAATTTCTTTGAAAACTTCAGGACTACGTTTCCCGAAAGTATAGGTAACCAACTGTGGTTGCAAGTTCCGTCGTTATCAGTTCAACAAGTTGGTGTTTCCCCAAACCATATAGTTCCAACGAACATTTAGAAATGTCTGAAAAAAATCTGGCATTTATTAGATCTCAAGCAGATTAAAATAAGTTATTACTCCAGCACCTGCATGACATCATTAACCAAGCGTTTTAAAGACGAATTTGTGACAACACGGTTTCGGAAAACAGTCGTGACTAGCTAGTTGATTTCTTCAACGATACATTGTACCATTGTAGTTAGGCAGCGAATTATGTCGTTGTATAGGAAACACACCCTAGGTCAACTATTTAAGTGAATTAATTGGAGCTGAAAATGATAAATATGTGGGCATATGTGGGGGGATATTTCAGGCATTGACTTGCATTCCCAATACAATTTAGTCATGTTACCCCACTAATTTGGAAGTTTAGAAATTTGGAAATTTGTAGTTTAGTTGGAAGTTTTGCCCTTTTTTTCAGCCTCACATTGATGATTTTCCTGAAACAACACTTGAGCATAATTACGGACAACAAATAGAAAGAGCAAAACTAAAAATGACACGAAAAGAGGGATAAACAGATGAATGGGTTTGCATGACTTCTTTCTAGTGGCATGAAGTAGAAGCGAAGGGGATGGGGATCAAGGGGTATAGGTAGAGTCAGACTTACAGTGACAAAGTCCTGCGGATGTGAAAAGAAGTAGGAATGAATGTAATGAGATTGTAGACATCACAGACGCATAAATCAAACATGGTCAAAGGATGTATCGCACAAAGTCACACACATTGCAATTCAATAGAGTGGCGTTTCCCGCAAAGATTCATGAGGGACTCAAGGTACCCGTTTAATTGGGAATGAGGGGGCACTAATTAATTTGAAAAGCTGTTATCTTGCTCAGTATCTGCGTCTATGAGAGGGGTTTTAACCATTTGGCTGTGATGCTTCAAACACAAAGAGCTTCATTTCCCCTAGAGACACCAATGCCAAGTTCAGCCCACAAACCCTTTTCAATTCTGCCAAGCAATTCTAGCCATGCCATTAATTCCACAAAGCCAAATGTAATTGATTGATAAGGGCCTGAGATTAACCTTTCCTATGAGTTTTTGTCTCTCAATCGTGATGGCCATATAAGATGCAGTCTATCCCATCAACACTATCGCTTTTATCTGATCCTGGTTAAGAGCATTGGCCATTACTGTTGACCTGGGGGGACTGGATGAGCAAAAAGGACCACTGAAAATGTCCATCTTTGACTGGCACATCTGAAGTCCGATCTGATGAGAGTGTCCCATCTTATCTTCAAAGACAATGAAGATGCATTTGAACCAGTTCCTTGTTTGAAAAATGTATTGTTGGGTACAGAAGAAAACCTTGCGTGCTCTTTGGAAATGTCCTGTTGTTGTCTAAGTTAGCATCACTTACACAAAAGAACATTTTGCCATTATCAGCGCTAGCATGCTCATGGACACATGACTTAAAGTGTCCTCTCTGGTGGGAGCAGGTCCACAAACTTGCACTGAACTGAAACAGAATCCCGCTGGACCACATCCACTCTAACCACGAGATAAGGAAGATGCAACTAAAGATTGTGAAATCCGCTTGACTTTGAAAACTAGTGGAAAGAACATTAAACAATGGATTTTTGTTGATATTTTGAGAAAAACCACAATAGTATCTATGTTTTAAAAACAGAATTCTAAACAGCTTTTATGAAAAGGGACAATGCCGCAGAAAACAATGCCATTTGTGGGCCATGATTTGCTACCGATAGAATTCCTATATATTTAACTCTGTTTAGTGGGTAATGTGAAATGTGCCATTCATTTTATTGTCAATTATATTTTATTTTTAAATATGTGATTTACCAAAACTGAGTGATACTAACAGAATTTACTCTATTCAAAATCTAAGTATATAACTGCCAAACTTAACGTAACAGAGTTGAAATAATGTAGTGCTTTCGAGTTAGACTTAGGGTTAGTAAAGTTAGACTTCGTAGTTAGACATTTAAAAATATATATATTTACACAAAAGTCTCATACTTAAGGGAAAATTTGAAGGTGCTTTATGCAACCGGGCACAGATATGTATGGGCCATTCTCAAAAATCTGTGCCCGGTTGCATAACATTAAAATTTTCAGAGACTTAAGGTGTGATTTCCCCTCAGCTAAGGAAATGACTTAAGGGTGTTGCATAAAATCCTTTCAACCGTTCAGGTAATGGAAACCGTTAAGTGACCCAGGTTTTGCTATTATAAAAATGGATTGCTGCCATGGACATGTTATTTGTTAATACAGAGTGGTAAGTTTCACGTTTCAAGTTTCACAAGATTTAACGCATGGGGGAACGATATACCAACACCTCCATGCTGAGGGGAGTGCATGCCAAATTATCGCTGTGACAAAACGTCAAAGATGGCAGTTTCACAGAAATGCCTAAAACACTCCCCCTTCAGGTCACATACAGGCTGTCAGCGGCAGTGTTCCCTGTGGCCGCTGCCCAAGCTATAAGCCTCAAAGAAACCTCCAATACAATGAAAGACTAGCAAGGCCGCTCAAAGGCTTGGAACCAACAGCTTCAATGGAAGGGGTTGCTTTAAGAGATCATGGCCAGGTGATCCAAAAGGAGTCACTTTCTGAGGGGTGCATGAAGTCAAGCCCACATGCCACCAGGGAGGCTGACCTTGTCTATTTACTGACCTAGTCTTGCCAACAACCCGTCTGTCAAAGAGGACTGCAGAGAGTGGTAGTAATCACTCACACACCGAATCATAGAGATGGGCGCCCTGGAGCGTAAAACTCCATAGCGTAGCATAGTGCTTTCTGACACTTGCAAACGGGAGTAACTCTACTCGATCCTGGATCTACACAGTTCCTCAGTTTAAAAAGGGTCTAAAAGGGACCCTAATGAGGGGAGGACCTCCAGCTCTAAGGTTCACATTGCCAACAGGCAGTGTACTCAGCAGACATGCTATTGGCCCTTTAAAGCAAGGGGAGTACTGTCTTATGCTACTGGACTATCGAAGACGCCTAATGTAAGGCTTACAGCTTCAAATGTCATGGGCGTCAGTCCAGTCAGTGCTTTGGCTCTAAGGGAGCATACTCAGCCATTCCACTTTGGGGAGAACAACTAATCTGTCTCTACCTGAGCCTGGGTGGTGAAAGGTGATAACATACAAGCTATGGGTAGGAAATAACTCTGAATAATGACCCTAGCAAGGGGAGTACTATAAGCATGACCTTGGGGAAGATATCAGGGTCGAGGCCTATTATCATACTCCTTCTTACTTTCTAGAGAAGGGCCTGACAACACCCATGAGATATCTGCAAGGGAGGCTTTTTGAAGATGGCCTGCCACCTATGGGGTTAGAGTCGTGTTGAGTCTCAACCCCAGGCTCTGGATGTGGGCAAGGACGACATCTTGATGCCGAACCGCCAGCTCTTGTGACTGGCCATAACAAGCAAGTCATCTATTTAGTTCAACAACCCGATACCCTGAAGCCTCAGCGGCACTACAGCTGCGTCCATACATTTGGTAAATGTGCGAGGGGAGAAAGTTAGGCCGAACAGAAGAACTAGATATTGGAACAGTTCGCCCCCGAAAGTGAACCTCAGGAACTTCCTGTGAGATGGAAAGATGGATATATTGAAGTATGCATCCTTCAGATCTATCGTGACAAACCAATCCTCGGATTGAATTTGGTTCACGATGATGGGAATAGTGAGCATCTTGAACCTGAATCTCCTCAGACACCAATTCAAGTGCCTGAGATCTATTATTGGACGCAACCCCCAATCCTTTTTGGGAACTATGAAGTACCGGCTGTAAAACCTGGATTCCCTGCCCAGGGAGTAACATGTTCTATGACCTCCTTTACCAGCAGAGTTTACTTCCTGTTCCAATACCCGACTGTGGCTCTAGAGGCAACACTCTCCTTTTGTGTTTCTCTATATGCTGAGTTAGTGGATGGCTGTGGCTCCCCACTGGGGGCAGACTTCTTGAATTTCGAGTGGCGAGGGAGATACTGCTTGAAGGCTGCAGACTGCTTTTTCACCTCCTGAAACCTTTTAATGACTGTATTTATCCCGCGTCGCCGAACAGGCCGGGAGGCAAAATTGGGGCATCAAGGAGGAAAGCCCTGTCTTTCTCCTTTCTCTCGCCATAGAACGGCCTTCGTGTGCAGAATAGAACCAAGCTAACCCGCAGCCATATAAGCCCTCCTCACCAAATTAGATGTATCGCGACAGTGTTTGGTGGGAGCACCGTGGTCTTTGGGGATGACACAGCGTCAGGGGTTAAATAACTAGCCAATGGCTCTTCCACCCGAGGCATCATCCCTTAACCATTTTCTCTCGCCCAAAAGATGTTGCTGTAATCTAAAACAGGGAAAAAATAGAAGACCCCAGCGATGAGGTTGCTCTCTGTGCTGCAGGAAGCACTCGTCCAACTGGCTTACTGTCTGCTTCCTTTCACGTGGCCAACTGATGTTTAAACGGGCCACGGCATGAGACACAACCTTTACCAGCTCCTCATATGCGAGGACATGGAGTGGCGAGTCATCTCCAAAATACCCGCCTTCGATGCTGAGCACATCGACTTCCTCGGAAGCAGACAGCTCAAGCATTGGGTTCTCCGCTCGTGAGGAATAAGCCTTTGGGCGGGCTTCCGCACAAGGTGGGAGAAGATCAGAACTGGCAGGGGATTCCTGAGAAAGTGCCTCATCAGTCTCAGGATCCACTGTCAGATCCATTTGCAAATCCCAAGATGTGCGCCGCACGAGGAACGCGAGCCTGACCATCATCATCGAAGCACTCGGATCAGCAGTATATCACAATTCGCACAAGCAGCTTCATCGAGAGCTGCCTGAGCATGCTGTGCTCCCAAACAATGAACACACAACTCATGATGAAACGAGGGCAGGGATGCACACATCGCTTGTATTTTTGACAATTTTTTCTCTTTTATGATATACACTAATCTAAAGGATTACTACGAACACCTGTTAAATTTCTCATTAATGCAATTATCTAATCAACCAATCACATGGCAGTTGCTTCAATGCATTTAGGGGTGTGGTCCTGGTCAAGACAATCTCCTGAACTCCAAACTGAATGTCAGAATGGGAAAGAAAGGTGATTTAAGAAATTTTGAGTGTGGCATGGTTGTTTGTGCCAGACGGGCCGGTCTGAGTATTTCACAATCTGCTCAGTTACTGGGATTTTCACACTCAACCATTTCTAGGGTTTACAAAGAATGGTGTGAAAAGGTAAAAACATCCAGTATGCGGCAGTCCTGTGGGTGAAAATGCCTTGTTGATGCTAGAGGTCAGAGGAGAATGGGCCGACTGATTCAAGCTGATAGAAGAGCAACTTTGACTGAAATAACCACTCGTTACAACCGAGGTATGCAGCAAAGCATTTGTGAAGCCACAACATGCACAACCTAGAGGCGGATGGGCTACAACAGCAGAAGACCCCACCGGGTACCACTCATCTCCACTACAAATAGGAAAAAGAGGCTACAATTTGCAAGAGCTCAACCAAAATTGGAAGACTGGAAAAATGTTGCCTGGTCTGATGAGTCTCGATTTCTGTTGAGACATTCAGATGGTAGAGTCAGAATTTGGCGTAAAAAAAAATGAGAACGTGGATCCATCATGCCTTGTTACCACTGTACAGGCTGGTGGTGGTGGTGTAATGGTGTGGGGGATGCACTTTAGTACCAGTTGGGCATAGTTTAAATGCCACGGCCTACCTGAGCATTGTTTCTGACCATGTCCATATGGCCACCATGTACCCATCCTCTGATGGCTACTTCCAGCAGGATAATGCACCATGTCACAAAGCTCGAATCATTTCAAATTGGTTTCTTGAACATGACAATGAGTTCACAGTGCTAAAATGGACCCCACAGTCACCAGATCTCAACCCAGTAGAGCATCTTTGGGATGTGGTGGAACGGGAGCTTCGTGCCCTGGATGTGCATCCCACAAATATCCATCAACTGCAAGATGCCATCCAATCAATATGGGCCAACATTTCTAAAGAATGCTTTCAGCACCTTGTTGAATCAATGCCACATAGAATTAAGGCAGTTCTGAAGGCAAAAGGGGGTCAAACACAGTATTAGTATGGTGTTCCTAATAATCCTTTAGGTGAATGTATATATATATATATATATATATACATTCACCTAAAGGATTATATATATATATATATATATATATATATATATATATAAATGCTTATTGCAACAGTGGACAGATTACACCAAATATGACAACACACGACAGAGAGCGCTTGCTGAAAAACAGAAATCTAACACTGTTGTAGGTTGACAAAATGTGTTTTTAAAATAATGTAGTGCTTTAGTGCTTTAGCTTTAGACTGCAGTTTAGTAACACATTTTTTTTCAGGTTCTTAAAAGTTCAAGAGCAACTGTTTCAAAGTAATAACTTTTTTCCCCAATACATTTCACACCTTTTTCTGTGAATCAATGATCCATTAATATCTGGTAAAAGTAGAGTAAAATAAGAATCTATTAGCATTAGCAGTAGCTACGAAGGTGGTAAATGTACTTGTCAGTTGCTCTACAGCAACGCTGCAAGTATCTAGCAGCACCAGCCGTTCCCTGTCATCCTCTCTGACGCGTAAATTCACTAAACTTCATGGAAATTTAATAAGTGCCGCTGCTTTGGGCCTCCCTCCCGTAGAGCCGCGAACCTCTGCTGCTGCCAGGCACATATGTGATGATTTACAACCAGACACAAGTCTACCACCTTCCTTCTTTTCCCCCTCCTCCGTTTTCTGTGTCCAGTCATCTCCCTTGTTTCGGAAGTGTGTGTAAGTGGCAGAATACACAGCCCTGGGGCCAACGGCTTCTGAAGTTAAGCCAGTACAGGCTGCGCTTGCATCCAGGGGACAAACAATATCTGGAAGTCGTCAGTGTGTTTTCTTTTCTTTTCTCTTCACCTTTAAAGAAGACCCGCTCTGTTCCCCTAACACTATCAGGCAGCAAAACGCTCCTGGTCAAACAACAATCCGTTCCTGTCTGAGTCTTTTCATCCTGGCCTAAATCTTCAAAAGAGACACTCTCTGGTTCTATGCAGTAACGTAATCCTCATCCTAATTAGCTTGACCCTTACAATAGAGGAAACACACTGCAACCCTCCAGTCGCTACACAAATTACTAGCCATCAGGTGATGGTAGTACTGGCACCATACACAGAATATTACATCATGATTTTTAGTTACATTATGGTTGCATTTTTACAAGTAAAACGCAATGGTGCAGACTCACCTTTTTGGAGAGGAGTGTGGGGTCCTGTTGCAGAAGCAGGAACAGGGTTGAAGTGTTTCCCAGCGCCGCACACCGCAGCCACTCCCTCTCGATGGGCTCCATCTGTACCTGATGAAACAGTGACTGCAAACAAGATATGGAAACAATAAAGACTGAGAAAATGACTTCACACACTGTAAAATCCAACAGTGATTCTAACTAACACTTTTTAGTTACTTATGTCTTACTTAATGTCTGGTGGTGGTGATGGCACAGTGGACAAGACACATGCCTTTGGTGTGAGAGACCCAGGTTCGAATTCACTGTGAGACACCAATGTGTCCCTGAGCAAAACACTTGACCCCTAGTTGCTCCAGAGGCGTGCGACCTCTGACATATATAGCAATATAATAATCTGTATTATTCACATACAATGTGAATTTTTTAGTAGTTAAGATTAATTGATTGGTTTGAGTGCCATTTGGTCAAGCAAAACAAAATAATTCTTGCTTGTAAATATGCTTGCTATTTTTTCTTTATTACATTTTCCTTGTAGATAGCTTATCTCAGCCTTTTTAAAGAAAGTTCACAGGTACTCGCAGTCTCCTACTTCTGAAAAACTGGACACCGGATTCAACAAGAAACTGTTACTAAAACATGAAGTAGTTCCGACTTTAAAACCAGAGGCAGCAGTTGTCGGGCCACAACCTGTAAGTAGGCTAAGACTTAAACGTACAGTATGCGATTTTTGGCCACCAGGGGTCACTTATTTAAAATAATAACAAAAGACGTACTTTGATGACGTCGGGAAAGAGCGTGGGCTCACGGGAGTTGTTGTCGCTGTCAATGACAACCAGCTCAGCTCATGGCATGACATCATCGTTTCACAAAATATACGGATATACGGCATCCCTCTGTAGATTTAGCTTGTCGAGAAGCTTTAAATGCAACCCCAATGTTTACCTGTGTCATGCTTTTTCTCCTGTCCCAAACCCTTCTCGGGTCATATTTTTCACCCGTACGTTTGAGCTTTACTGAGCTGGCTGTAGCAGCAGAACGTGCAGGCAAAGCGTAATCGTGGTCGATAACTATAATACAGACGAATATAAATATTAATATTACGCTCCTTGAATGAATGACCTATTTTAGAACATTTTTCATATATAGGGCGCACCGGATTATAAGGCACATAAGATACTGCAGTCAAATGTTTGACTGGGTTTGCGTTATGCATCCACTATGGTGCTAAAGGGAATGTAGTGAGTTCGCGGCGCCGGAGGTGAGGCGTTTATTTAGTAAGCATGAGCGCGCTGAAGCGGGCACGTACATTCGTAGTCTGACTCATATGAGTATTCAATGTGCGCGGCTCGCTAACAGCAACAGTTGGCTGTTTTGAATCAGTTCTGAATGAGACGACCCGGTTACTGTGAACGGGGAGTGCTTAATGCTCGACTCGCGAGCAGCACCGGGGACACGCTCGTGAGCGGGCACGTGATTTACACACATAAAAATACGTACTACTTTTTTTTCTTCGTCATTTTCTTTGCTTTATTGGCAGTAGTTCAGTGTTCCCCTTTGTGTTTGGCAGTTTCGCCAGGTTCCACAAGGACGTTAGAGAAAATAGAGGAGTCAAAGGTTATATGACGCCATAGTCGGGCGACGAAACGGAAATAAAGAAACGTCCCGTGTCTTCGAATTAAACTCTAAATTTCTCCGTATTTGAAAGTTGGTGGAAACTGTCGGGATAATGTAAGTACACATCTAATAGAAATATATAACATAGATACAGTTATTTTTGCTATTTTTAAAGCAGAAAAAATACATATTGTGGCTTTAATCATTTTAAATGTATTTGCATGTATTTTCAGACCAAATGTTTTAGTTTTATCAAATGTCAGCGGTGGCTTTATAGCCACTTAGTTGTGCTATTTCGTGTCTACGACAGACGCGTACAAACATTGTGGACTTGAATTTATATGTTTCATATTATTTTATACTTTATGACGTTTTTTTTCGATTTGATCAAGAACATAAACCAGTGCCAACGCTGTTTGTGTATATAGTAGCCAGTCAGTTTGATGCTATTGTGTAAAACAAACGTGTATAAAGTTAAAAAATATAGGCAAATTACCATTCAGAAACGTTTTGTAAGAGCCGTGTGTGGTGAGGTTCTGCTTGACTCTCTTCATCGCCGCTTTCTGATTCTGGCTCATACTGATACTGCCGTGTCGACACCATTATTTACATTTGGCAGGAACACATAAGGCGTGAAGTATCCGAACAACGTGCACTACTCAGTTTAGCCAATCACAACACACCGGCCCAAACTAACCAATCTGAGCCCACTGCCTGTTTCTGGGGGAGTGGTTTCATAGAATCAGGAAGTCAACCGGTCGTTCAGAGGACAGAGGAGAACGCGGCTGACAATAAAGGTGAAATTTATGAAAAATTAGACTTTTAAAAAAAAGAAAAACCACTAATACATGTTATATTGCACCCCATAAACACAATCATGCAAAGAAAAAAAAGCAGTAAACCACCCTGATAGTCAGATTCCAAACACTTTTCATCACCCAGACTAAATAAGTATATCATACGGGTCTTTGATGCACACTTTTTTTCTTGTTGGAATTTAGTGTTAATAATACACTTCTCAGACTCTTGACTATGACATACAATTGGCACGAAGTGGGGAGCTCCTAAATATTTATTTAAAAAATGGTAGAATCTAGTTTGCAGTAATGCAATAATAAGCAGTACACTAGTCCTTTCCATTCCTGTACTATAAAAGTCAGTTATAATACTCCTTCTTGTTTTGACCTTTCTTCATTTCTAATCTAAGGCCGGTTGCAAGCAGCCTCCCTCTAAACAGAACCAGACAGAGTTTCTTGTCACACTGATCAATGACCTGTGACCAAGTCTGGGGCCCTGCTGACGCCCGTGGCCAGCACAAGGGCCCCGTTGTTCAATCTGACAGAACGCGTCGGGGATCCAATACCCAGATAACAGGATCTGAGGGAAGACCGTGGATCGCAACACCACTAATCCTTCTGTTTAGCACCTGTTTATGATATGACAAATTGAAACCCCCACCGTGAAGGTCTTGACATTATTGCATTTCTGTTCAAAACATTAATTCAACATGGCAACTGAGGGGCTGCCGATTAGAGCGAGGGGCCGAGCGTGTATATTGACATGTGTATCTGATAAAAGGAATCTAAAAAAAACAAATACTTCACTGGGTTATATTAGAAACAAACAAAGAAAGGAAAGCTAGAAGAGGAAAAGGAGGTTTTTGGCAGAGGCTATGATCCTGTGGCCTTGCCCCACGGTGACCTCTGACCCCACGTTAAAGGCAGAGCGTGCAGAAAGACGGAGGAAAGCGTCTGCAGATCAAAAGGAGCTGACAGATGAAGGCGAGGGGTCTGCGTGACCTTGACTCTTAAACTTCAGCTGCGTCTCCAGACGAGAAAACACTAATGTGAGCTCCATTCATCTGTTTGCTAGCAACACCCAATGCCAGATAACATAAGCTGCTAATTAAAGACAGCTCATTAGAAAGCAACCAGATACGCCCCAATCATCAACGTGTTGTGCACTGAAGCATTGCTGGGCATCACAGGACCATTTAACACTCTCGAAACGCAATGACTTACTTATTTTATCATGATAATTGCTGGAAACTCAAGCCAAGAGAGAACAAAGATGGTCCCTGCAAAAACGTCACAAGCACACTTCCCATGATGCCTTGTGCTGAGGAAATTCCTACTGTGAGAGGGCAGACCCCAATAACAAGATCTATAAAAATAACTGTGGCATCCTGTTGCTATGGTCAACAAACAGCGAGATGATTGATGAAGACAAACTGCTGCAGTGATGGACATTGCGAGATATCTCTCGAAGACCTCAGCCCTCACGGACACATGAAAGCTGTGAAGTCTCGCTCTCAGACAGATCAGATGTCAGGCTCCAGGTGTTTATTTAGTTGTTTTCTTCAGCAACTTGTTCAGGATTACATACCTCAAGTCTCAAAGAGGCCAGTATTAATGGAAAGCCATGTTAAAACAGCGATTAAACGCAATAGTATTCCATGAATATGTTTATAATACGCCTATCCAATCTAGAATATGAAGAGGGGAGTTCCCACTGACAGCACTTGCAGTTTATTTTTTTAGACTGAAGTTGATCATTTATTATTGACAAAGATTTAAAAGATGTCCCTCCACATTATGCATCCAAAATGGTTACCACCATAATGCAATTTGATGTAATAAATTATACTTCCATATTAAATATTTTTATCCTTTCAGGGAGTGAATTCATCATGAACAAGCAAATGTCTCCTCTTTTGAACTCTTCAAAGGAGAACCTTTGGTCTAATAAAACATCGGTACCTAGTCAACCGTTCTCTGAGATTTGTTTTCATGATAATCGAATGTAAAGAGTTTTATCTCTAAAAACTGTTTAGTGTATACACTAGTATATGGGGGCATTTACAAAGTTAAAAGAAATTGCTGACAAGGCTCAAAATAGCCCCACACTAACACAGTAACACAATGAGGGTCCATACATGCAAAACGAAGCATTGAGAACTTTGTAAGTGTACAGACCGTTTAATAAGAAGATACTTTATACAGACAGTCCACTTCGTGTATACAGGCGGCGCCATCTTTGGAAAACAGTCTCGACAAGTCAAACCATGAACGTCGTGCTGAGTGATCTGAACTGTATGAAGTTTAGCGAACTTCTGAACTGTATGAACGGCGTTCGGGGATCGACTTATTGCAGTTGATGGAGATTAGTGGTATGCTCATCAACGACACGAAGCTCCCGTTCCACCACACCCCAAAGATGCTCTATTGGGTTGAGATCTGGTGACTGTGGCGGCCATTTTAGTACAGTGAACTCATTGTCATGTTTAAGAAACCAATTTGAAATGATTCGAGCTTTGTTAAATGGTGCATTATCCTGCTGGAAGTAGCCATCAGAGGATGGGGACATGGTGGCCATAAAGGGATGGACATGGTCAGAAACAATGCTCAGGTAGACCGTGGCATTTAAACGATGCCCAATTGGCACTAAGGGGCCTAAAGTGTGCCAAGAAAACATCCCCCACACAATTACACCACCACCACCAGCCTGCA